TATATATATATATATATTTTAACTCGCCAGTAATTTACGATCTCCTGCAATTGTGTAGCAATTTTGACATAATATCTTAAAATAAAGTGTGTGTATATATATATATATATATATATATTAAAGACATTTTTATGTTTAACATTCTTTTTCTAGATACAAGTATTTCAGTAAATTCTCTGTTTATAATAAACAGTATTAAATAACATTTACCGGCCTGAATGTCCGAGATTTTTTTCATAGAAAATATTCATCCTTTGACAGAATTCGAACCTGCATTCTATACGGAACCGTCATTTAGCTTGACGTGCCTAACCTCTCGGCCACAAAGGATCGTTCGGTTAGCAAGGTCGAATTTACTGCTTATAAACTTCAATCTTCCATGAATCTTGTACATTCATAACTGCTCATGGCGTATCAAATTAAGAAATATACAAAGTCCGACAATTTATTAAAATATATATATATTGTGTCATTTTCGTATTTTACGTGCATATTAAACATACCTTTTTGAATAATATCTCCTGTAGTGAATGTTATTTTCTTTAATGCGAATAGTTTTGTTTTCTTTTTGAATGTTGTGTCTTTCTATGCAGTGAGTGTGGCATATTATTCCGATATTGTCTACCATACCTATGTCAATAGTTGCATTTTCTTTTGCGTTTGCGACGGATGGTAGTGTTGGTGTATGTTTGTGTGAGAAATAAAGTATCTGAAATTGCTGAAGCGGATGATGCTTCAGGCAAATTGACATGGAATGAACGCAAGAACCACTCTTCATATGCGAGGTTGTGCGTATTTAAGGTAATAGACTGAAACTTTGACCGGAGCAACAAGGTTAAGTGATTGCCTCTTACTATTTCTGCCTTTCAAATTAGTCCTTTAATCTTTTCACTCTTATGGTGGGATGACTTTGACAAACACTTCTGACTCGTTGATTTTCTTTCGTTGACAATAGTGAATTACTATTATTAATAAACCTGGCCACTTTTTAATCTTCACTTCCTATATATTAGTTTGTGTTCTGTGAGGCTCAGAATTTGTTGTATTTACAGATCAAATAAGGATAATCAAATATCAATACAACAGAGTTTCCTGTTGTTGTTTAGGGTTTTGACAGTGATGTCAAAATAGTAAACAAATATATGGTAGAATTCTGCATATTTCTCTCCATGCAATGACCTCCTTCTACGTGCATTGTCCTTTCAGGATGTTGGTCATCATGGCTCTCCACAATTTCCTTGTCTTTAGCTCTTATTAAATTTCTCTCCTAATCCCTGTTCTGCCGACCATTTACAAAATGGTCGTTATGTAGGTTATGCGCTGTTTTCCTTTCTCCCTCTCCTCCTGTGAGTGTCAAATTTTCTAAGCCCTCTTTCTTCATTATGTGCGCCAGAAATTTCATCCGTCTCTTTCTGATTTTAAGCGTCCTTTTTGTTTTCATAATTACATATTCTTTTCTCTTTGATTTCATGGCACCATATCTGTTCCATCTTCCGATACCAAAACCTTGTCTTTTGGAGTCTCTGGTTGAAATAGGAGTAACTCGTACTTCACAAAGCAAAGGCAAAAAAAAAACAAAAAAAAAAAACAACAACAAAAAAATAATAATAATAAGAAGAAGAAGAAGAACAACAACAACAACAACAACATGATGATGATGATGATGATGATGATGATGATTTTCTTACAAAGCTGATTTGTACATGAAATAAGCTTTGTAAGAAAAAATTGCTAAGAAGGAAACTACTTTTAATACGTCCTAATATATCTAAACCTGATTTGGACATCAGGGTTAATGACAGCTCCTTACCATTTGTGCCTTTCGAAACAAACCTTCTGATCCTTTTGGTATGGTTTCACTGTAAAACATACCATCTTCAGTTAAGAATGGCTGGCTTACTTTCTTTAACCCCAATTCACGTTTCTTTTTATCTTTTTTCTTTCTTTTTTATTTCATATTCATGTCCTTCCTGAAGAACAAAATCGAACTTTTTTTTTGTATTCACTTTTACTTTTTCTTACATAAAATATATTTATTTCTTTCGGGAAGTGACGCTCTCCAGTGTGGGCATTATTTTCAAGTCGGAAATAAAAAGATGAATCTATCCAGTTGAAGAATTATTTTCGCATTTAAGAATCTTAGAGTTGTAAGATCCATGCAGATTTAGGATTCTTGCACTTCTTCTCAGAATTATTATCTACTAGCTAATGTATACGTAATTATCCCTAGAGAGGGATGGGGTTCGTCAGGTTAAAATGACTAAAACACGCCACATGACGAGCATTCCAAGAAACCATTCGCGGAAACCCAGGCTCTGGAACTCAACCGCGGCAAATGAAGGAGAGAATGGTAGACAGTTCAGCACGTCGGCGCCCTATCGACTTCTTCCGAGATTCAGGACGAAAGAAGAAGAAGAAGAAGAAGAAGAAGAAGAAGAAGAAGAAGAAGAAGAAGCAATACGTCTACATCTGGTAAATAATCAAATCTTGGAGCATAGTTTCTTCTTTCTTTTTTTCTTTTTTTTTTGTGCTTTATTTTCATCCAATACAATGTCTAAGTGCAACTCAGCGTAGAAGGTTACGGGTGTTTTAAGGATACAAAGGGAGGAAACAAAGGTTTCATATTATGAGGATACGTAGGATAGATAGATAATGCTTGATTGTCGAATGGTTAACATTATAGTGATCTGGGAAGCATCCCCTTGAAATTCAATTCCATATTTCTGGGGAAGAAGCTGAGTGGAACTTACTCCTTATCATTGGAATATAAATGGAAGGCGGACGAGTCGTCTCGGTATACGTGGCTGGTCCTAGCTGTAAAGATCAGAAATGGTTAAAACAAGGAATGTAGTTCACCCGAACATTTGCCATGAATTGGTAATAATAACAATGAGTTAAATTCCCAATCCTGAAAATTGAAAACCGCAAAACTACTTATACCTAAGTGAAACAGAGAAATATATTTGGGTTTCCGATTCATTGTAAAGTTTACTTCAACTCTATACTTCTAACATCTCCGCCTAAACTTTGAAATCTTATTTACTATTTATTTTATTTATCTTAATTCATATGCTTATTTTTCCTCAATAGTAGATAGGTTCGCCTATAGCCCGGTTCACACACCTCCCCTGTCTTTTGAATAAGAGTAGAAATGTTTCCTTGTTTCTGGTTCAGGATTGTGTTCCGCTTCCTTCTAAAGTTTTCTCGTTCTCTTTGACTCTCACTACCCCCCCCCCCTTGCGTCTTAGTGGCATTATCGCCTTCCATCACAATAAATATCTTTGTCGTAGTATTTCTTATCATTATTTATGTGAGACAATGTTTATTTTCAGATTCCTTGATCATGGATGTGGAAAGTTTTTTTTTTTTTTCCATAACTAGCGTAAAGATTTATAGAGCATTTACTAGCGTAAAAGAAAAAAAATAGATTCCTTTGTTCTTGATAAGTTCCCACTTAAAGAGTAAAAGAAATATAGATTTGTTAGGAAAATTGTATTATGAAAAGGCATTTTTATAGCGCGCGAAGAGAAATTATCTTGTACGCAAGGCTCATATACCAAAAAGCGGTGATCTGGGGAGCATCCCCTCGGGAATCAATTCTATATTTTCAGCTGTTTTGCGGAAGAAGCTGCCTGAGTAGAACCTATTCCTTATCAGTTGCATATGAAAAGAATGAGAACTTTGTCTCCTTCATCTTCAGTCTCTTTAAAACAACTGCCTCTGAGGCTCTCCTTTAATTGGGGAACAAGCAACTGTTTCAGGTAGCAAGATCTGGACTGTAGGGAGCGCGTTTTCCTCCCTGCAGGGTGGGGTATTAAAGTTTTGATTCCCATCACTGTCAGCTCAAAACTTTATTGCATAGCGAGCTTCCAATTATCTTCATGCCCCGACTCCATTTTGTTTAGTAGGGTTTCTTCAAAGAGCCGTTACAGACTTTTCCTTCAATCTGGAATAACAAAAGTTGGCAGGTCAGCTTATTCGATGTATAGTAATTATATCCTAAACTTACAATAATCTAGGACTGTTATGACTGCCGTTTGTAAAATGTTTCAAAACCTATTCAATGTACCTCGTATATTTATCTATATTTCAATGTCTGTCTACCTGTACTTTTGTCTCTTTCTGTGTCTCTTTACGGTTACGAAATGTTTGGTTCCTTTCGAATATTTGGTGATGCTAATGATTATAAGAAAAAAATGAATTGGTCGAGCAGCCATTTCTACTATCATTTAAAATTTATAAAATATTACCATTAAAAAGAAAATTTTCAGGAAAATAGGTTTCTCAAGTTACCTGACATCGTTCTTTCCGCTATTGATGGCGTCTTTCTTTCTTGTACTGATGATTCGGATTTGGTTTTTCTTTCCGATATTAACGGGGGATATATTTACGCAATTGATGAGTTCTTTTCGATTTTCATATGGGCTTTCTTTCCACTATTGATGGATTCTTTCAATTATTGATCGGGGCTTTTTTTCAGGTATTGATGGATTCTTTCAAATATTGATCGGGGCTTTCTTTCCACTATTGATGGATTCTTTCAATTATTGATCGGGGCTTTTTTCCGGTATTGATGGATTCTTTCAATTATTTATCGGGGCTTTCTTTCCGATATTGATGGATTTCTTTTTTATATTGATGCGTGGGCAATTCTTTCTGGCGCTCTTTATGGATTCTTTCTCTCCGATATTGATGAGGTATTTCTTTTGGATATCGATGGGGGCTTTTTCCGCTATTGATGGATTCTTTCTTTCCAATATTGATGTTGGTGGGGTGGGGCTTTCTTTTCGATATTTGTGGGATCTTTCTTTCTGATATTGATAGTGTCTTGATTTCTACTTTTGATCGATTCTTTCTTTTCGATATTAATGGAGGTGGGGATTGAGCGATATTACTGGGATCTTTCTTTGCGGTATTGTTCGCGGGAGATTTCTTTCCGCTTTTGATGGATTCTTTCTTTTCCGATATTGTTGCGGGGGTGGGCTTTCCTTGCGATATTGATGTGGTCTTTCTTTCTAATATTGATGGATGTATTTCTTTCCAATATTGGTGCATTCTTTCACTTCGATGTTGCGAGAGGAGGGGGCTTTCTGTCCGCTATTGAAGGATTCTTTCTTTCTGATATGGATGAAAGCTTTCTTAGCGATAATGATGGTGTCTTTCTTTCCGTTATTGTTGGGTTCTTTCTTTACGATGTTGATGACTGTTTTATTTCTGATATTGATAGGGTACTTCTTTCCGCTATTGATGGCGGCTTTCTTTCCAGTGTTGATTGGGTCTTTCTTTCTAACTTTTCCGTCCTGGATATAACGATAAACTACATCCGCGTCCAGGGTAAGACGATAAAATACGTCCAACAGCAAGGTCTTTGATCAGGAGGTTTTGAGGAGCGTGGAACCACCTTTTAATTGTTGGTGTTCTGTTGTAGAGTAGTTTTCACAGTGGAGGCTTGTATTTCGCTAAGTCGGTCCTAAAAAAGGGTTCGACGTACAAAACGTTAGGAACTTGAAATAAGAGTTAATGACGCAGCAATCTAGTTGTGATGGTTGATACTTCAATGTCCGACATCGACTGACTCGCTCAACACCACTGAGTCCAACTTGCGACCGCTACTACTACTACTACTTATTATGTGTGGGAGAGTCTATTAATAATAGAATAGGTGCGTTCAGGTATGACATGCTCCCAGGTTCACCCTGACCCGGAGTGGTAGCACCTGTTAGGTTCCCAGCTATGGGCAAATAGTTAACCCTGAAACTGAGATAAAAAGCATTATGAAAGTGTAAAAATAGGTTTTAATACCAGAAATACTTTGTAAAAAATTATTACCAGAAATAAATTTTTGAAGATAAAAATATTACCACCTATACAATTTTGAGGGAAACAATATGACCAGAAATAGATTTTTGACAAAACAAAAATATTACCAGGAAAAAAAAAATAAGTTATCGGCATTAAATGACCCATTGAGGTTGATATGCCGTAAAACAAACAAAACCAAATTAAACCAAACTTTCTAACTTTTAGCTTGAAGTAGTTTGGAATGCCAACATCTTCATTATATTATTATAGTTAGATGTACGATCCATTTTCCTTGTTCTTGCTGTTTAATGTCCCCAAAAGATGTTTTCTTTTGTTATTTGGTACAGTGCTTTGTGATATCTGTTTGTTAAAAGGCATGAATCCAATATTCCCTATGGATTAAATAGAAGATCGCACTTAGCCCGAAGTCTGAAAAAAAGCAGGAAAACGCTAAATTCAAAACTGTAGCGACGGCAAGAGTAAACGTCACTAGTCTTCTATAGCGAAGAAAACGGCGGCTTACCTCGTCAAATCAAGTGACAGCGCGTCGCGTTTATTCTACGACGGAAGATGTGGCGAAAAAGAAATTTACTTACCAAACAAAAGGGAACGTATTCCGCATGACATGCTGAAGATAGAATATTTGAATTAAAAAACAAATCCGTCGCAAGAGTCACTATAAAAGTATTATGATATGCATATTACTGAACATCCTCTCCCAGCTGTCGACGAATAGAAAAAATCCTCGGCCGATAAAAGCAGTTGGTGTTCTCGAATCAGGGAGGAAAATCGGGTATTTTGGCTACTGCGGTTGTCAGAAAAGGAGTTATTTTTCTGACTGGTTGCGTGCGTTGTGATTCGTGAGATAGTACCTGCGAATCGAGTTTTCAGCATTTCTTTCTGCCCCCGATATTTGAGTCTGAACTTAGTGATTTATTCTCTGTGACGTGGAAATAACCTGCGACAAACATTTCCTTTGTAATCCCAGATCACTTACATCTTCCCAAATGCAACTATGCCAATGTACTGTTTTAAAGAAATAAAAGAAGCTATGGAGAGACATGATCGGCTACATCATGAAATAAAATAACATTTTAAAAAATCAAATTTTTCATAAAAAAATATGCTAATTGAATGTTAATTTTGAACTCCTGTTGAGAACATTCAACTTGACGTCATACACGCTTATGTTACTGTGTAAAAAATCAAATCACGTCGTTGATAGCAAAGTATCTGATATTGATTGCTATTTTGTGTGTAGAAATTGTTTGCGTTGCGTTTGAAAAATGTCCGGGCGACATTTTGTTAGTTTCCCCCACCCAACTATTGACTTGGGCTCCGTGCTCAAATCTCTTCGAATTTGTTTTGCCGGACGAAAATTAACATGGAGCCGAAACCTAAAGTGTTTGCCATCAGAAATAAGGCTTAGCAGATCGGCGGCGCTTCGAAAGGAATGATCAATGATAGAATCGATAAAAAAATCAATCTCTAACAGCAGTAAATCATCTTTTCATTGCTGGAAGCCCGAAAAGATTTCGTTTTTTTTTGTTTTTTTTAACAGCTCTATTGGAAAAATTTCCTTTTTACGTTATCAAATATTTTATGAAATGAAAATATTTGACACAGAGAAAATGTTCAGCATTACAAACATGATTTAAATTCAGTGTTTCTCAACCTTTTCTTCCTTGTGGCTCCCATTTTTGGTGTCAAGAATTTCAGGCCCATATAAGCACAAATAGAAATGTAACAGAAAATACATTTAATTACAAAATCAAAATATAGTAGAAAATATAAACCCTGATTAATGACTCCATTGCTTGTGGTGTCTGTCTATCAGCTTGTCAGGTTGAACTTCCAATCCGTGTTTCAGGTATGAACCGGACTATATGCGAACCTATTTAAAGATATTTATCGCGAAGGAAGGCAATAATGCCACTAAGACGCATGGGATTACTGAGATTCAAATGAATAAGACAACTTTAGAAGGAACCGGAAACCCAGCCCTCAACCAGAAACAAGGGATAAATCTCTACTCCTATTCAAAAGGCCTGAGAGGAGTGTGAACCGGTCTATAAGCGAACTTATCTACTCCTATTGAGGAAAAAATAAGCATATATAAATAGTAAATAATGAATTAAAATAAATAGTAAATAAGATTTCAAAGTTTAGGCGGAGATGTTAGAAGTATAGAGTTGAAGTAAACTTTAGAATGAATCGGAAACCCAAATATATTTCTCTGTTTCACTTAAGTATAAGTAGTTTTGCGGTTTTCAATTTTCAGGATTGGGAATTTAACTCATTGTTATTATTACCAATTCATGGCAAATGTTCGGGTGAACTACATTCCTTGTTTTAACCATTTCTGATCTTTACAGCTAGGACCAGCCACGTATACCGAGACGACTCGTCCGCCTTCCATTTATATTCCAATGATAAGTTCCACTCAGCTTCTTCCCTAGAAATATGGAATTGAATTCCAAGGGGATGCTTCCCAGATAGCTATAATCTTCACTGTTTGACAATCAAGCGTTATCTATCTATTCTACCTATTCTCATAATATGAAACCTTTGCTTCCTACCTTTATATCCTTAAAACATCCCTATTGCCCATTTACAAAAGCAAAATATAGTACGAAACCCTGACTAATGACTACATTGCTTCTGGTGTCTGTCTGTCAGCTTGTCAGGTTGAACTTCCAATCTTTGGTCCAGCTTCAGGCGTAAAACTCTTCTATTTTCAATCTGCAATAAATTACGTTTCTTTGTGAGTTCTGCAGGAACTAACATTGGAATTGGCATCAATCGGACAAAATAACACAAGAAAAAATATATAAAATATCTTGTGTCAACCAGAATGATAGGCATCTGAAGATGACTTGAGGGTACTTAGCCGAAACGTTGTCTCTACAATAGCATGTATATTAATCAAAATGAGAACAATAGTTTGAATAAATCGAATAAATATATTGAAAATTCCTCATTTCAAAAATCAAAGTACAATTATCAAAGAAGTATTTTTAAATCTCCGAGTTGTGGACAGAATTTAAAACAGTGTTTCTCAACCTTTTCTTCCTTGTGACTCATTTTTGGTGTCAAAAAAAAAAAAAAAATACAGTCCCACATAAGCACAAATAGAAATTCCATGTAAAAGGAAATACATTTTATTTACAAAATCAAAATGTAGCAGAAAAATATAAATCTTGACTAATGACTACACAGCTCCTGATGTCTGCAGGTTCATTTAAAATATTTCTCAGACCCACTTTTAGTCTCACGTTGAGAATCACTGATTTAAAAATTGTACATATCAAAAAGATGTTCTATTCCTTGGAAATCAACAACAGATTGTATTTGTTTATAATCTGTTTATTGTTTATAATCAAATGAAACGCACCTAAATATACGACAAATTATGTCTACCCGTTCGTATATCTGAAACTCCTTTTGACTCGAACCACATTTGGTCTACATAGATATTTTATATCTTTTTGGAATCATGATGAACCCAGGATTGAAAATCTACCTGTCATCTGCTGCTTGAACATTTTTGTCCGGATGCGGAGGGAACAGTTATAAAATCAAATTTTAAAATAACTGAAAAAAATAGTGATTTTTAAGTTTTTAATTTATAATTAGTTTAAAGTAACAAACAAACTTTGTGAATTTAAAAAAAAATATTTTAACTTCAGATCATAATATTTCCATCACTTTGTGAATTGAAGAATTCAATTTTATTTCTTCAAAATTCCAAGGAATCAGAATTAAAGTGAGAGGTTTCGCGTCGTGAGGTTTTGAAGTTCCGCAGAGTTTGTGATTTTGAAGAACTCACCTCATATGAAATTCCGCGGAGATTGTGATTTTGAATTGGAAATCAGAGTTTCAGCCCCAAATCGGTCTTTTGGTCAGAATTAGGCTTATCTTCATGACCTCACTTTAACTCTGATTGGGGCAATCAGAGTTAAAGTGAGGTTATAAAGATCCATGGATTATATTGAGAAATTCAAAGTTATTTCTTCAAAATTATCATTGCTGTTTACTTAGCTGGATTAGAGGTCCATTTAGTTTTGGGCTGCAGGAGCTAGTTTAAAAGTCCTCACGGAATGCGGTTTTTAAGCTTCTTTTATGTGCCGTGTCCTTTCAGTACGTACGCGATCATGGCTCTCCATCTTCTCCTGTCCATTGTAGCTCTCAACAATTCTCTTTTTGTTATTTCTCCCAGACCATGTTCTGTCATCCACTTGTTTAAGCCCGTTAAGCATGTCATGAGAAACTTTTCCTCTATCCGTCCTGTGAGCATCAGATTTGTCAAGCCCTTCTTTCTCATTACGTATCCCAGGAATTTCAGCTGCCTCTTCCTGATGTGAAGTTTAAGTTTCCTCCTTGTTTGCATCCTCTCCAAAACCTCATCGTTGCTGATATGTTCAGTCCACGGTATCCATAGCATCCTTCTCTAGAACCACATCTCTGTTGTCCGAGTCTCTTCTCCATGCTTAAGGAGATTGTCCAACATTCGCTACCGTAAACGTGTGTAG